CCGCTGCGAAGCTCAAAGTAGGCGATAAAGTACAAGATGGATAGGGATTGGGCTTAAGGGTGTCGGCGGCGAAGTATCACAGAAGTTAACACTTTTGTGATGATCGAAAGTAAACTTCTCTCATGCTGGTTGGTGCATTCGTTACGTGATCCCTTGTATATCCGAACGATCAACGGTTCACCCCACGAAAAAGAGGTACGTTCATCCTACCAAATGCGGTAAGCTAGATTAGTAATGGAGTTGTCGAGGGAGGGAGCAATGGTGAGGAGCCCGTCGAATCCTGCTGCTTTCCATTCCTTTTGCGATTAAATACAGCCTCTTACGTCTAGTTCCAGCCACTTAATAAGCACTGAAGACGCCACCTCGGCTGGTGATGAAACGTTTGCAAACAAATTACTAAGCTTAACGAACAGGCGAAAATGAATTCTCTTTCTGTTTGGAGCTGACATGTTACCGCCCACAGAGTTTCTGTTATAGACGCACTAGTTCCAGGCTAGGTGAACTGTCCACCGAAATACTCTTCCCAGGGATCATGCCGTTTTTATTTTTTGTGGTTACTCCGTCCACTTTTATCGCTTGCCGGTATGCTGTGACCTACAGTGAATTTTCCTTAATGCATTTTTCGCGATCTTTCTTAGAGCATTTTCTGAGCTGACACTCCTGACTCCATCGGTTCCTATATTGATCATGGCAGATTGGGAATTTTTCGTCTGTTCCATCGGGATTACTGACTTCTGAGAGATCCAGTGTCTTCGCCGAACTTCAGAATAGGACCCAAAATCAAAGTTTGCTGTCGAATGCATTGCACATTTAATTTGATTTCGCTCTTGCGTTGCTCTACCGCTTCGCAGTGTCCCTAGTCCCTGTTCAGCTTCTCTTCATAACATGGAACGTTTTTCTTTTTTATAACAATTATTGTACCATGATTTGTTTGGCACAGTCTGCCGACGTGTGACGTGACAAAAATACACTTCCTGGGTACAAGTATACGAATGAACTGACAAAAGATTACCGGATACGCATATCTGACGAGCGGCAAGAACCGCGAAACCGGTTGTTTCCAGGGCAATTTTATCCAGTCATTCACATACTACTTATAATGATATATATACTTCGATATGTGCAAATAGATGGATTGCACAGACGATGATGAGTTAA